TACAGACAGATGGACCGTGTGTATTTCTGCCCTCAAGTCACACGTGTCCATCATCAAACCAGTAGCTGTAACCTGGGACCTGCATTCCTTTAACAAATACTCAAACATTTGGAAGAAACACCAGTGAACATAAATGAGTAGAATTCAAATACTGTAACATTCAGATCGCCCAGCAAGCTTAACAGAATCACACGTGGAAATTGCTAATTAAGGATTTAATTTGCTCTCAAAACTTGTTATTTCTTGGAATACCACTCACAGGATTTGTATAAAGTGTACTATATGTATAAAGTTATTAATTATTTTATCTGCAAGGATGAGTTCTTTTCACGTCAGACAGGGCCAAGAACATACACTTAACTCATAGCAAGAGTCGAAAGCCAGACTGGCTGATTAGATCCTGACGTGTCCTCACCCATGTGCTCCTGGCCCAGGTGTGGAAACACTGACCTTCACCTTCAACTCCATGTGTCAGCACTTCCTGCTCTTGCTTTTGACTTGACAGAAGTGCATTCCTTCAAACCAGTAAGGTCTCCACAATGATTAAGTTTTCGTTCTCACGGGAGAATAATAATGACCGTATTAACATGTTTTGAAATTTTAAATCCTCCATCCTTCCTGCCATAATTTCTGGCCTCAGTTTTGTTCTTGTTTAACAAAGGGGAGATACACCCCCACTAACTCCCTCTTTCACCACATTATGGTCTATTTTACTTTTTTTAATAATTTATCACTATGTCTTCTACAATGCACATTTCTTTTTCCTATTTCTCTGTCCTCCACCTTAGAAACCTGAACTAATCTCTATAATCAGATAATGGTCTCTTGATTTTACTTTCCAGTATAGATTATCATCTTGGTCAAATTTCTTCACCTTCTTCTTACGCGCCCCCATCTCTGTGAATGCAAATAGTTTCTCTAACATTCTTCAGTAAACAAATGTCCAGCTCTCAGACTCCTTTGCCTTTGTCATTGTGTTATCATTGATTTTTTTTCCCCCAATCAGTACAAAAGCTTGTTGAAACCCTCTCTTAAAGGTCATTTTTACTGACAGGATTTTCTTTTTTTCTTAGAATTCAACATAACTCTATCAGCTTATGATCACGTTGTCCAAGGTTACCTGTATTTCATGCTCTGCCTCTCTGCAAGCATGGAATTAGGACCATTACTATCCTACTCATTTGTTCTTTCCCACAGAAATTTTCCCCAAGACACTGTGAGCATGGATTTTCAACTCTACTTAAGAAATTACGTATTGTCTATGGGCTAAGATTAAAATATTGTCACTGACTCAGCGTCATACATGCTATGCGGCTGGGAGTGGTAATTCATGACCATTTCTCTTCACGTGACATCCAACAACAACACTGGAAACTTGTGTATCTCTCTCATCATTTAAAACTCAGATCTAAAACGTTTCTTCATAACTCTAAATACCTCAAAGGATCTAACTTCCCACGAATTTTAAAAATGGCCATTTAAAAATAGGACCACAGTGTTACTGTTTTAAATCTACCAAATGAATCTGAAACATACCACAGCAATTTGAAACTTATCATCTTCCATTCATACAAATATGAACAGATTTTTCTTTAAATTTCTCTAAGTTTTCTTTAAATTTCACACCCTTTCCCCTTGAGCTTTTATTTCTATTTTATTTCCCCTTCAGCATTTTGTCTTAATGAATTACATAGTTGAGCTTTAAAATAATCCATCATCCTCTCTCTGTAATAAAAAATACATATGCAGTTAAATTTATTTTTAAAATTTCCTGTGATCATAAGCACCTAAGAGCTACATTTTCAATTTTGCATTATTGTTCCAATTAGTATTAATATGCAATTGTTCAATACATCATAAATAAGAAAAATGATGAGTCATTTATTAAATATAAAAATACACCTCAATAATACAGGTGTAGCAGACTTCTCGTCAATCAGTTCGGTTACCTATGACTAAAGATTACTTTCTGTTAGAAGAAGAAAGCATGCAGCATCAACCCTATCCCTAGCTTTTGAATTTATAGACTGTTCACAAAAGTAAGTGGAGACAGAGGAAGCCATGCTCTAGCAGTGACTTAATTCCTTGAACACTCAAGTTATGTGCAAAAGTCACAGTGATCTATCATCTTGCATAATGTTTAGTGATCCACCAGCTGACAACTCTATCAGGTTGTCCTCTAATCTGGCTGGAAGCAAATAACTGAAGCTTGCCAATCGTTAGTTACCTGTCATTAAAGTCGTTTGCTTTCACGGTTTCTCAGAGGTACAGCAGCAAGGCTTAACCAGGACTTTTTCCAAAGGACTCTGACTTACACTTCAGCATCTTCCACTCACAGGCACCTTCTGTCTCCAATACTCAGAAAGGGCTGAGAAAATTACCTTTAACAATGTAATTTTTTTAATGATTTTTTTTAATCACTCACTCGAAATGCTCTTGTGTCCAAATCTTGGGCTTACAGAGCTAGAATTCTGTTTGTGGAGAATACCCGCCACAGAGCCTGACCAGTTGTCATCACCAAACCAACTGGCCCAATCAGACTTCTCGGGTCAAACCCAATGAACCCCATGACAGCCGTGTCACAGGCCACCAGCCCCTGCTTCTAAGGCCACGCGGCACCCTTCACAGAAACATGTAGAGACAGAGAAAGACAGGAAGCCCTACTTTGGGTTTCTGATGTCTTTAATTAGAGGAGGCTTGGCTGACACCAATATATCAAATTATTTCACTGTAAGGTGCCTGTTTGGGCTTCTGCAGTATGGTAAGATTCTGATGTATGCAAGACATTCCATTTTTATTTTTTTTAAATAAGAAAACGGCAACTGAAAGGGGAAGAGGGAGGGGAGAATGAACCTGACACCTTTCCCCCAGGTGTGATCTCAAACCTGGATGTAAACTGTTGGAAAGTGCCCGTGTGCAAGCTGAGGTTCTGGAAACATTAACTGTGATACCCAGGTGCCCCTTGGAAAGTCTCCATCAACCCCTAACAATACACATAAAATAAACCACCTGTGGTTACTGAGCTGTGAAGCAGAGTGGCTTGATGAGGCCATATTTTAGGTCTATATTTTAAATAAGACCACAGATCTAAACTATCGATATCTTCTCAATAAATATCTCATCATCCACCAAATAACTACAATTCCTACTAAATAACTTGGAAAACTATTGGTAAGTCCCCTAAATGTGTCAGTTTAACTTTTTAATGGTCTTCCCCCCCCAGCAGTTACAGCTCTGCATCATGAGCATTATAAATAGAAGGCAGAGTGGGAAAAGCTTAAAAAAACGCAGAGCAGGAACAGTGACTCAGCATGATAAGCATCCCAAACTGCCCCTTGCTGTTTAAAGCACATTAGGACTAAAATTTTCTGCAAATAAAGAACGGTGGCCATTTATTACTACCTGTAATAATAACAGTGGTTATTTAGAAAAGCAGTTAAATCCTGGAGGTACAGGAAAGCCATCTGAACATTCAAAAAGAAAAGCTGTCACGCAGAATGATTTATATATAAAGATAAACACTTTCAGAGAGCTTTAAATTCACATGGTTTCCAAAGAGGAAACAGATCAGTTTAGCAGGGATTTTTCTTTTGGGGGGGGGGTGGCATCATTATTTCATCGCATTCCAACGATACTCACTGCCTCGGTGTGAATGGGATGCACAGCAAAAAGCAACGCCGTAACAAAAGCGAGCCCACGATTCTTGAAGACAGTTTTGTCACAGGTGTACATCAGCACGAGGGTCACAAGGCAGTGTAAGACGACATTCACTGCATGGAAGTAGAATGGGTTCATGCCCGTCAGAAATGTGTTTAGCCTGCAGAAAGCGAGCAAAACCTGAATTAGCTACAAACAGAATGAATATAAGCCACAAGGGAAGCAGAGGGAATCCCTCACTTTGAAAGATGAGCTATTCGATTAATTATTTTAAATGACTCCTCATATCAGGTTACTCTATATATTTGATAAGAAATTTTTTTCCTATCTAAAAATTTTGCTCTCTACGGAAATTAACGCAAAGGCGATTCAGTATCACTTCAGGGATCTCCGTGGCCTCACCGGGAAGGCGGGCAGACAGGCACAGAACCCCTTTCTCCCTCGCTCGCTGGCTGATGCCAACGCCCGCCCTCCTCAGGCCCCGCAAGGAGCCCTGCTTCACTGCCGCCTCCTCGTGAGCAGCCGGGCGCTCAGAGCCAAGCCCACAGCGCTGTGGGCCAGAGGTGCGGCCACCGTTGAGACAAGAGGGGAGGGGGCAGGGCACAGCCATTCAAGGAACGACACAGCAGTTAACACCAAGACGGTGGGAGCTTCAACTCCCACAAGACCTTGAGGCCCAAGATGGTGGGAGATTTGACTTCAGCAGACCTTGAGCTTCATTATATGCTCAGTGTAACATATTAGCACGCGGAGTGGCGCTCCCACGGGGGCCACCACAGTTCCCAGGCTGACCATGAAAGGTCAGAAAGTGGGCAGTGGCTCACTTCCTGGGCACCCCAGCCCCTTCCCCAAAGTAGTCGGAATAATATTCCCACTTGTTAGCATAGGAAGTTACCGAGCTCCTAAAAACTAACCACCCCACACCTCGTTCCGGCTCTCCCTTCTGGGTGAGAGGGACCACATCCTGTCTACGGAGCGTGTAACTACTTTTACTTTCAACTGAGCACCTGAGCACCCAAACCGCACACCTCATGGCCTTTCTCTCGCCTTCTGAAACAGCCTGCACTCTATGCGTATGTGTCTCTCTGAATAAATCTACTTTCCTCAACTGTGGTTCGCTCCTGAATTCTTTCCTGAATGAAGCCAAGGACCCACTTGGCAGGGTGAGTCCCAGGGACCTGGGACCCGGACATCGTCTCACCCCACATTTTTTTCCTGTATCAACCAGAGATGAGAAAGAGACCACGGGACTGGGACTGTGGTCAAGGTTGGGACAACCAGACATGACCAGTGTTCTCTCACCCATGGTGCCACCAGGAACCAAATTTCCAGATTATGCACAAGGAATCATCGTTAATTACCACCCCACATGGGGCCTCCAGGGCACCTACACGATATTACCAGCTGCAGCTGAAATTAAAAGGATGAGCAGAAGTGCAGCATTTCAGAATTTGTATTAAGTGTTTTCTCTGTTTTCTCACATAAATTCCCATAAACCTCAGAATCTAAATTCTAGAATTATAATGAAGAAACTAAAAAAAGAACCACAAAGAGAAGGGAAATTTATTGTTCAACATCTTCAAAAACACTTTCCTGAGATTAAAAAAAAAAAAACTCAGAACAGAATTAACTACTATATATAAATTAGATTTTAAAAACCCAAATTTCTTCTGCACAGCACAGGGAACTATATTCAATATCTTGTAGTAACCTTTAATGAAAAATATGAACACGAATATATGCATGTATATCTATGACTGAAACATTATGCTGTATGCCAGAAATTGACACAACACTGTAAAGCTACTATACTTCAATAAAAAAGAAAAAAAAAGACAAATGAACTTATATGTAAAACAGAATCAGACTCACAGACACAGAATACAAACTTATGGTTACCAGCGGGGAAGGGAGTGGGAAGGGATAAACTGGGAGTTTGAGATTTGCAGATACTGACTGGTATATATAAAATAGATACACAAGTTCATACTGTACAGCAGAGGGAAATATAGTCAACATCTTGCAGTAGCTTATGGTGAAAAAGAATATGAAAATGACTATACGTATATTCATGTATGACCAAAGCTTGTGCTGCACACCAGAAATTGACACAGCATTGTAAACTGACAATACCTCAATTTAAAAAAGAAGAAGAAAATGCAGAACAGAGAGACTTCTGTAGGTCACCATAATTTAATAACAGGACAATAATGTCCTCAATTGAGTCTGTAGGGTGATTAGAGAAAAAATTCAATGGTATAGGGTGTGGTTCTTTGGGGGGAACAAACACACCCTAAGTGATTCTGCCAATAGTTGTGAATATACTGCTCCCCGTTTTACCAAAACACTAACCCCACGGCTTTACCCTCATGCCCTTGATCTGCTTCTCTTATAGAAACACCTCCTCTTTGCCAAAAACACTTGAAAACCTCAAAGTCAACTTTAGCGATGGTATATTCCAAATGCTTGATTCATTCACAGCTTTAACCTACAGAATTTTAAACATGTCCAGCTTTATCTGGACACGTGGATCTAAATGCCACAGTTACCAATCAACTCCATTTCATTCTCACTGAAGAAATCATGGTCTTAACTGAGCCTAAAAAAAAGAAAAATGAATTCTGTGTGGAATCCAACTCCAGGGCATTCAATGCAAGATCTGAGTCAGCTGTATTGGAGCCCGATGTGGAATACCCCATCCAGCGGGAAAGAGGGACGGGCAGTGACCTAGGGAACTGGAGGTCCAGCCAAAGCCTGGAGAACAGTGTCCCTCCCATGCCAGTACAAGAGGACCCACATACGGCGAGAAAGAGGCTGGAAATCAGAAAGCTCAGGCTGGCGGAGCTGTGACAGGGACAAGACCACGTCCCCATCCCCAGAGAACTTGGGTGCAGCTCCCTGGGAGCCCGGCCCCTAAGGGTGAATTTACACTGCTTCCCCCATCACGAGGTTGGCTCTTCCAGACCTACTGAGCCATTCATTTAGAATTCATTCACACCCCTCTCCAGGAGAGAAGACTGGCAGTCTCTCAGCTGACAGGTGGGTGTCCAAGCTGAAAGGTCTCTAGGTTGTCAACAGGTATCAAAGGCTTTAACAACTACACACCCTCTGGCCAAAAACTCCACTTCTACGAATTTTCCACAAGGAAACAACCAGAAAAGTGTTCAAAGATATACACACATACATACACATACATGATACTGTGATATAATAAAAATATGTATTTTTTTGCTTTCATCCTGACTCCTGGCTAGAGATCCTAAAATCTTTATAATTTCCTAAGCAATGGAAGTGCTAAGAGCATCTTTTGTTTTAACGTTTGGTCGCTGCCCCGAAGTTCCTGGCACAGAGCTCTTAAGTTCCTTGCAGTTTCCTAAATGATAAGCGTACAAGGAGCACCTTTTGATCTAACGCTGGTTCCTGACACGGAACTCCCCGCACGGTGGGCGTGTGTTTGGTTCTAATGAGGTGACTCACACCAGGCTCCTGGGCAGCTTCTAGCCGTGATTGGGAGCCTGGAACCTTCAGCCTCACCCTCCACCCTCGGGGAGAAGACAGGTGGGATACTGAGTTAATAACTGATCACGCCTATGTGATGAAGCTTTCATAAAAATCCCTGAACTGTGTGGGGTCTGGAGAGCTTCCAGGCTGGTGAACACATCAGTGTGCCGGGAGGGTGGTGCATCCCAACTCCACGAGGACAGGTGCTCCGGAACTCAGGACCCACCAGACCTTGCCCTGTGCATCTCCCCATCTGGCTGTTTATCTGGACCCTTTACCATACCCTTCGTTACATAATAAACCAAGGAAACTTAAGTGTTTTCCTGAGCTCTGTGAGCCATGATAGCAAATTCTCAAACCTAAGGAGGGGTCACGGGAACCCCTGATGGGTAGCCCAGTCAGACATAAACCTGGCTGACCTCGGGACCTAACACTTGTACTTGTCTGAAGTGGGGGCAGTCTTGCAGAACTGAGCCCTTAGCCTGGGGGTCTGATGCCAACTCCAGGCAGACGGTGTTAGAACTGAATTGGATTCGAGGACACCCAGCAGGTGTGGGAGTAAACCCACACCTCTGGTGTCACAAGTATCTTGAAGACACGGGAATTTTCTTACCAATGTACAAAGATGTATCTCACTGTGTTAATTATAAAAACGGTAATAAAGAGAAGGCAAGACATCAGATAAGACGAAACCCTTAGGTATCTGACTCTTCCCACACATATTATACTTTAGTTCTTAACTCTGGATACAATCATTTCCAATGACTAATATTTGTAATTATTCATCACAAATAACAGCATTGATCCAAAAACGTCCAGATGTTATCCATGTAGATTATTTCTGGAAATTGGTTGGGATACAGTGCTTGGTGTTTTAAGTGAATTCAACTAGATCCCAAAATATAAAAATAAGTTGCTGGATGGGGAACCACTGGAGTGATAAGGAAACAGAGTGAAAGCCTCTGACATGGCACCTGAAACTGGTGAATCCAAACCTGGAGAAATCACCAAAACTCTACAGAGTTAGGAGAGTGCTCCAAATGTCTAAAAAGATGGAGAATGAACTCTCCAAACTACAGACAAGTGAGCTGAAGACGAAATGATGACAAAAATCTTAGAACGCGTTCTGTTTGTGAGCACCGCGAAAAAGAATCTCTGATTCTGGGAGCCACTGTGGGTTCACAAAAAGGGAGCTTAACTGATGAAGCTGACACGTTAATAGGAGAGGGAATGTGTCAGACACGTCACATCTGTATTTTAACAAAGGCATTTGTCAGAATCTCTCAGACTTTCCTTGCATACAACATGGAATGAGAGAGATGTGAGCAAACACAAGGAGTGGTGAATAATACATCAATGTCTCCTTGATGGAGACCTCCAGTAATATCAGAATACCAGGATTCTGATATGATCTCTGGTGTGTACAATATTTTTATCAAAGACTTAAATCAGCCCATTGTGTAATCAAACCCGCAGAAGGCCTGAATCTGGGAAGGAGAGTTGCTGTGCTAAGAGACAGGCTGAGCTTTACAAAGTTTAAATGCCTGAAATTGTTAGTTAATTCTAACACATCAGACAGAATATGGGTAAGAGTAAAAGCCGGCATTTGGACGCAAAAGAGAAGGAAATACTTGCAATCCAGAACAAAACTCTACACAT